ATGCCCAGTCTCACCCGCGTGCCCAGTCTCACCCAGTGCCCAGTCTCACCCACATGCCCAGTCTCACCCAGTGCCCAGTGTCATCCGCATGCCCAGTCTCACCCGCATGTCCAGTCTCACCCGTATGCCCAGTCTCACCCGCGTGCCCAGTCTCACCCAGTGCCCAGTCTCACCCACATGCCCAGTCTCACCCGCGTGCCCGGTGTCACCCACGTTTCCAGTCTAACCCAGTGCCCAGTGTCACCCACATGCCCAGTCTCACCCGCGTGCCCAGTCTCACCCACATGCCCAGTCTCACCCGCGTGCCTGGTGTCACCCACGTTTCCAGTCTAACCCGCGTGCCCAGTCTCACCCACATGCCCAGTCTCACCAGTCCCACCTGTCTCACTCGCATGCCCAGTGTCACTCGCGTGTCCAGTCTCACCCACATGCCCAGTCTCACCCACGTGCCCAGTCTCACCCATCCCACCTGTCTCACCTGCGTGGCCAGTCTCTCTCACTTGTGTCCCCTGTCCCTTCCATCCTACTGGTGTTGAGTCCATGCTGACCCCTGCCCTATCCCATCTCGCCCACAGGCCTCAGGTGCTGGTATTGCTGAACCTGGACGCTGAGCAGCGTGTGAAGCACCCCCGCTTGCTGTCCTTCACCTCACAGCTAAAGGCTGGCAAGGGCCTGACCATTGTGGGCTCGGTGCTGGAGGGCACCTACCTGGACAAGCACTTGGAGGCGCAGCAGGCTGAAGAGGTAAGTGGGGCCATCACCTGTCTGAGGTGGGGAGGGAGTCATGTCCACACAGTTTCATGTGCTGTGCTGTCATCTGTTTCCTTGACAATGGGATTTGAGTTGAAGTGAGCAGGAGTGAAGGGCATGCAGCTTGGCAAGACCTCGGGGCAGCCCACCTGTGCCCCAGAGGCTGTAGGCCTAGACATCCAAGGCCATGAGCTTTCAGAGGCTAAACCTGGGATGAGCCCTCGGCTCATCTTCACTGTGCAACAGCACAAGGCCTGCGTGCTGCCTGTCTCTGCCCCTTCAGTGCCTGTGGATGCAGCCGTGGGCCTGTGCCATGTGGGGGGTGGCTTCTTCCTCCTACAGCTGCCCCAAGGTCTTGCTGATGTAGCCAGGTCTCCTGAGTGTGGCCCTCTATCACCATGTCTGCAGACCTGCAGCCACACCTAGAGGCTTGTTCATACCCAAGCTGAGGATAACTTGGGGATGGGACAACTACCCAAAGGAGGGCTGGACCACTGGGGCTTAGAGCCAGTTCCAGTGGGATCAGACAGCCTGCTGCTCTGAGGCTTAGCTTGTTCAGGAGACATGCTGTGTCCTTTTCTTTCTGAGACAGTGATTCTCTTTCAGCACCACAGGGCACCCCAGTTAAAATGGTGGCCTCCATTGGTTGTAAACTGATGCTGTATCCCGGTTGTTCATGAGGGTGTCCCGCTGTTCTTTGGGCTGGAGCCACTTCTGTGGCACCTGAGCCACCTTGGTGTCTTACATCTTCCTGTGTCTGCTCCAACGGATGGGTCTGTGGGTGGGGACGATCTTGGCACCTTGTTTTTGATGCTGTGTGGTAGCTGTGCGGTCACTGGCTACAGTGCAGGGTGGATGTGCCCGGGCGCAGGACGGGGTATGGTCCCCAGCTCCTATCGTGCCCCAGCATCTCTCTGGGGGCTGAGGAGGAAGCAGCTGGAGAGGAGGGGGTGCCAGAACCACACTGGACACAGGCAGGTTCACAGCCCCTTTCACACTGTCTGGGATGATCTTCTATGCTTGCTTTAAAATACCAACTGTCCGTTTTCACAGAATGCACACTTTATTTTTGGTGGTCGTGTGGTTTCACAGATGTTCCTCTGTGATGCTCCTACTGCAGAGTGTTTTTCTCCCTAACATTCCTGTGTCTTGGACATTGAGGTGGTATCCAGTGCAGGACGTTTGTGGATGGTGTTCTGGTATACACTGTGTTCGACGTGGTGGGAATATTCTTGGTAGAATGTCCTGGAGTCACAGCTCTCTGATGGGGTGCTGTCCAAGGGTCTGGACCAAGTTCCAGTTAACCTGTGCTCTCCTGAGAGCAGGAGGGGATTCGAGTGACTGGTAGGGGCATCTGGACCCTCTGGCCACACTCCGCCATGGGAGAACCATCTTTATCATTGTCACTTTTTCACTTGCAAACCGAATTTCTAGTAACATCATCTTATCTCAAAATGCTTTTTACTTGAGCGTTTTTGAAGACGACAGAGTAGGGAAGCTGTGGTTCCTGCTCTTGTCTGCGGTTAAAAGAGCTTTGGCACAGGTGGGGACACGCTGACCAGCACTGGGCCCATTGCACTTTGTCGGGGGCACGTTCTCCACGAACCATTATTGTACCTGAGGTTGTAAAATTTAGAAAGTGTGAGCAGACTCTCTCCTGACTCTCCTAGTAATTCCCCACGTGGCTCCTCTGGGTTCTCCAGGCATCTGGGTAGACATGGGTGAGGGCAGGAGGTGCTAGGGGAGGCTGGTTGGGCTGCAATGTTGTATGTGGGGCTGGAGGTGCCCTGGGCGAGCCAGGCTGGGGTGCTGCCTGCTGGGCTGGTCTGGGGGCAGCTGGATTCTCAGTAGCAGGCAGAGAAGGGACTCAACTCTGCATCATTCCACACTGGCAGCTCCAGGCATGGCAAGGCCGGGAGGGTTCTAGTGCCTTTCCCAGCTCTTGTGGCTCCAGGCGTCATGGGCGAGGGCCACGTTGGCCTCATCTTCACACAGCTTTCTCCTATCCTCTGTCTCAGATCTCCCCCACCTCTGCCATAAGGACACTTGTCCCTGGTTTTAGAGCCCACCTCAGTAATGCAGGATGATAGTATGTTATTTGCAAAATTCCTAATTATATCCATAAGGACATTTTTTCCAAATGAGGTCATATTCGCAGCTTCCTGGGATTAGGACTTGAATATCATTTGGGAGTAACTATTCAACCCACTCCAGTCCCCATCAATTCACATTTGCTTTACATGTAAATTCCATTCCACCCATCCCAGTATCCAAATCTCATCATCTCAAAGGTCCCAAACCTCACCTTTTAAATCATCTAGTTTGGATACTGGTGAGACCTTGGCGGTGGCCATCCTGAGCAAAATTCCCTGTGCACAGACTTTAAAATTTAGGATCCCTTTGTCTGCCTATATCCCAAACACAAAGGTGGGACTCTCCACTCCAAATGGGGAAGTCAGAGCATCAAAGTGTCACTGGTGCCACATAGGTGTGAAACCCACAATGGTCTCACAAGGTGGCATAGCCTGAGAGCACGTGGGCTCTGAGGCTGCACCCTGGTAGTCTGGGAACTTCGGGCCTGAGTGTCAGCGAGGCAGGGGCAGGAGGCCAGCATCCATAGCACCTCAGCCTGACACAGGGTTTGGCCTCACTTGTGTCCTACCTCTCCTAGAAATAAGCTGCTGGGCTGTGCCACCCTGGGTAGATGCCCACGAGAGGACAGGGAAAGGCAGAAACTGTGCAGTAGTGGTGTCTGCTTTGTGGCTTCTCTGGTATTTCACTCCTGGCCCCTATGAAATGCTATAATCTAAATAGAGTCCTGGGTATGTAGCATACAGTGCAAAGTGTCCACAAACAACAGGGTGGGTTTGTGACAGTTTGGGTCACCCCAAAGAGCCATCCGGCCTCGTGTGCCCTGTGTCACCTGCCTGTGATGCCAGGTACACCCTGCTGTCCATGCCTCTCCACATACATGTGTGTACACACACCAGCCTGTGGCACCTCAGCAGGGGTGGCAGGGATGTTAGGAGTACCCTCTATGCCACTCTTGGGGCCACTGCACTGACCTGGCCTGTGTCCTGCAGAACATCCGGTCTCTGATGGGTGCAGAAAAGACCAAGGGCTTCTGCCAGCTGGTTGTCTCCTCCAACCTGCGGGATGGCACCTCCCACCTGGTCCAGTCGGCCGGACTTGGGGGCATGAAGCACAACACGGTGCTCATGGCCTGGCCCGCGTCCTGGAAGCAGGTGGACAACCCTTTCTCCTGGAGGAACTTCATTGGTAGGTGAGGCCAGCGTGGGCTCTGCATGGTCCCAGGGAACATGGTCTCCAGGCTGACTGTGTGCACCAGTGTGTAGGGGCTGATGAGTCAAGGGTAAGGGTTCCACCGGGACCCCACTACCTTGCCCTGTCTGCCTCCCGCAGCTGCTGCTGTCTGGGCACATTTTGGGGGAGCTTAGCCCTCCATGTGCTCTCATGTTCAGCTCGGGGCTCCCAAAACCCCCCTGCCCTGGCGACCCACCTGTGGTGGCCTCTCCCCACAGACACCGTCCGTGACACCACTGCGGCACAGCAGGCCTTGCTGGTGGCCAAAAATGTGGACTTGTTTCCACAAAACCAGGAGCGCTTTGGCGGTGGGAGCATTGACGTGTGGTGGATCGTGCACGATGGTGGCATGCTCATGCTGCTGCCCTTCCTCCTGCGCCAGCACAAGGTGGGTGGCAGGGGCGGTGGGAGCATTGACGTGTGGTGGATCGTGCACGATGGTGGCACGCTCATGCTGCTGCCCTTCCTCCTGCGCCAGCACAAGGTGGGTGGCAGGGGCGGC